TTTCCGAAAAGAGGCCGGATCTTGATCGACTTTTTTCTACGGGGGCAGATTTGGCTGAAAGTTGGGTTCTAGGGGTAATTCGACCTCCTGAACACGAATATCACATCCACTTGGCCTGAAAGTGCTGGCACCTGCGCCACAGGCGCCGGCGCCAAAAACTAAATAACACGAATATCACATCCGCTCGGCCTGAATCCGCCTGGCGCCGGCGCCAAAATACCCTGGTCACCAAATCCGCTGAAAACTTGTATACGGAGGTTATTTGACATCTTGATTACAAATATCACATTCATTTTTGGCGCTGGCGCTGATGGAAGACGCTGCGATCATCTGCGCTCTGCTAAGGCTGAGCCTGACCTGAAGGAAATCACTCTTTCTCCCAGGCTCAGCCTTAGAAAAGCGCTAAATGGCGCTGGCGTCGAAAATAAATGTCATATTCGTGATCAGGGCATCAAACAACCCCATTATGCAGGTTTTCATCGATTTTGATAAAAAAGGTGTGGCGTCAAATCAGCGCCTAATGACGCCAAATGGCGTCAGGACCCTCTCTGTATTCGTGATCAGGACATCAAATAACCCTACTATAAGCAAATTTACACCGAATTTGGTGAAAAGGTGGCGGCGCCAAACTGGCGCCAATTTGGCGCCAGCGCCAAAACGAGTGCTATATTCGTGATCAGGACACCGAATTACCTCTGTGGGCAAAGTTTCAGCAAAAAAATTTTTTTGTTTTTTGGATATTAATGGTTGAATAGTGCCGAATGTTCTTCTCCTGGTCCACTGAAACTGAATTTCATGTCCTGACATAAGTTGAACTCCGTTTCCTCCAATTCTCAGCATTCGATATGTTAATTGATCCACCATGTTCTTTTTCACTACTCCGATCCATGTCGTCCGATGGCTCTCGTGATGCTTATTGAGATGTCAAATGCGAAAACCACGCAACTGTTCGTTTTCCGCTCACAAATGCCCGTCCAGCTGCAGAACAAATTTCAGTCATCAACCGCATCTCAGCAGACTGCGACTGATAAGCACTGAGGAGAAACAATGTAACTGGACAAAATGTCCTTCCATTTTTCGTTTTATGCCGTCTCCATATGTCTCTATTACATTCCTGAGGCGGCATCAAACTTTCCACGAACCGGAACTGGGAACACCACGCTGAAGTGCAGGTTTGTGATGAAAATACATTTCCGTTCCATAGACATTTCCCTTCGTATGAAGCTATGAAAACTTTATCACGTTCTAAGCTTTGAGTGACTAATAACAGTTGTAAGCCACGAGTTGCCCTGATGCTTCTCCAGTGGAACAGCAAACGCTCTCCAAGAAATATTGGACTTTGAACCATACCGAAGTTCCGCTGAAATTTCCACGGTAGTGGGGCGGCGCGGTGGCAAGTAAGACGCTTAGCACGCGCATGGGCCTTGTCAACCAGGCCTTCCGCCTTCCAGGAAGGGTAAATTTGTATCAGATTAGTCTGGGACGATAAGAACACTTACTTGCATACCGTCTGGCCCCCGCAGGTCATCACTGTATGGGCCATATCGCATTCAGTAAGCCACAGCGACTGTGAATGAAAAACGACAGCGGGCCGCATCCCAAATAGAACTGATCAACGGCAAAATTTTTCCTGAAAAAATTTGCAGCACAACAACCCTCTCAGAAGTTTTCCTCCCTTTTATACCGACCCCCCCCCCCCTTCTCTCACGCCTTATTCCCTAACTCAACGCACTCCATTTCCTAACCTTTTTCAGTATTTTTTCAAGAAAACAGCCCGCAATTACCGATGGCGGGGATGCAGGGCAAACAGCCTTCGATGGGCGGCGGATTTTGGTCAGGCTGTAACGACCCCCCCCCCTTTTTGGGGAGTTTTCGGGTACCGCACCCCGCCCCTTTTTAGTGTTTGGACGTCACATAATTCCTTGAATAAGATATAAACAATTAGATATATGAAAAAATAGCTATAACCAGTCTACTAAAATTGGGGGAACTGGATTTTTACATTATGTACAAGCCGCGTTTTGCGTCAAAAACACTACTGAGTAGCCATACACATCAGCATAAATGCGAAGTTACATGAACTATGATTTTAAAACTAAAAACAAAAAAGCGGTAAATAACAGAAAAAACGAAAACAATAAAACAAATACGTCCCCTAAAATGCCATTAACCCCGAGAAATGTGGAGTCACGGTAGCAAGAAATGCGTACGTCAAATTTGCATGCCGTGACTGGGGGGGGAGCAACGCGCTTAGTAGCACATGAGCGAGAATTCAGCAAAGTAAAGGCGTGTCTTTTGAAGGACCATAACTTTCCTCAAACGCGGAACTGTGGGAAAGGAGAAGCGTAAAATTGGTAAAATTATAAATAGAAAGTTTTTGGAGTCTTCCTGAAAGTACTAAAATGTTTATGAAGGTCGCGAAAATCACAGAGAAAGCTGCCATAGGGATTCGTTGGGGAGTGAAGGGTTGAAGTTCAAGTTTGAACCAGGTTTTTGAATCAATATATTTTTTTGTAACTCAACATTTCACAAATCTGAGAACGGATCCGAGCTTCTCAAGATTTTCTCTTTCTAAAAACCTATTGAACTGTTCCTGAAGCTCTCGGGATTCCATGAGATCTCGCGATGGGGGGCTTTTTCTTTTCAACTCGCCACTCCCCCCAGCCGCGGCGAAAAAAACCCGTTTCCTGCACCGTTTCAAGTGAGCGTGTTCGAATAGCCAGGAACGCATGTAGAACGTATCCTGTGGTGGAGCAGGAGCAGGATATGGTTCGTTTAGCGCCGATCACGCTGACTTTGTATGCGCCGCGCGCTACTGAGGTCTCGGCGCCCAAGAAGTGATGGATTGGTGCAACTTGTGCATAAATGTGTGTCCACCGCGCCAAAAAGTTGTGTCTCGATAAGGAATTCAGTGAGGTTCATGCGAACGCTGTGCCCTATGTCTAACCCCCAGTGTTTTTTCTCCTTGCGGATGATGTAGCGTGTCCGTGTCGACGCCGCCAGATCTGTGCTCCGATAGTTGCTGATTCCGATAAAGGAGACCAAGTGCTGGAAAACGTCTGGTAACGGTATAACGATATGGTATCCTGTCGTTTGTCAGAAAAACAAAAAGCAGGTTGGGCCTCAGCGCCCAAAAGCGTGAATCGGCGCGGACACGCCCCATCATCCGCAGCAAACCAGAGTATGAGTTGTAGTGTTTAATCACTTACGAGATGTTGTCGACTTATTAATAATTCCAATTATTTCGGATTAGTTTGATGGATGAAAGTTTTGTACTCATTTTTTACATATCCGAGTTCTCTACGAAGCAAGTTCCGCTACACAGGATTCAGCACACTGACACCTTTGGCTGCTGGTGCTCGATACTGGGGCTACCGGCAACTCATTACGAACCGCCCCCCTAGCTTCCTGGCGGCCAAATACCGGAACCCCTCCCCCTATGGTGAATTCCCCCAACCCAATGCCTGTGCCCTGTGGGAGGGTAATGCGGGGTATATAGCGCCTGTGGGAAAACGGGAAAATACCGACCATGCTGAAAACGCTTCCCCACAAGGCAAAATACGACTGCCCTCTCGCTGTCTGTCCCAGCTTTGCCGCCAATTAACGACCTCCTCGGGGGGCTGGGGGGTTCCCCGGAGTACGAACTGCCTGTTCCGCTGTCCACCCATTTCGAGTTTCAGAGCTGATCATTACCTTAATATTAGCCCCAATGGCTGGGGCAGGGGAATCAATGCTTACAGTAATCTCCACAAATGTACACCATAAAAATTGCAGATGAGCCGAGAAAGAGTGACTGAACATTTTTCACCTGGCGCAGTAAACCCATCTAAATGGAGATGCCCTTTTGAAACCTAAAAAAAAAGACTGGGGGAAAGAGCGTAAGATCCCCGTTGACGGGAGAATGATCAAATAAAAAGCCTTTCTCTCGTCGCGATTCTTGCTGTCCTTATCCTCGAGTTCCACATAAAGTCCCAACCTTCCAGTGTTCGAGAAAGAAGCAAAAGCTAACCTGAATCAAGTCAGATTGCCATTCTGCAAAAAAAAAGGATATCTTTTGTCAACTTCAATTCGGAATGCCAAGTGCCTCGGAACATGTTTTCCCTGCTGAGACGCGAATGGTCCAATCGGCTTCCGCCCGGAAAATGCTGTGTTCTTTTCCTAAGCTTATCGCTGAAAAATAAAAAAGGTGATGGGCAGACACTGAGTGCTTTAACATTCTGATGAATGACTCCTACCCCGCCAATCCGCGAAAATGTCCCCGCGCCACCACCCCAGTGAATTTTACCGACATGTTTTTCGCGGCGCACCCCTACCTGGTGACGCCAACCTTCGACGTCGAAAACTTTTTGAGCTTTCATTGTTTTTTTTTTTCGGGGTTTGTTACCTATTTTATGTGAACTAATGTGAAGTGTTATGCTCTTAAATAATAAGTGTTTATTTATAGGCGACTAAAGGAATTCTAGACACATATGTAAAAAAAAAAATGAAACTACGGGAGAGACTGTGGGCACTAGTTCGGGGCGGACGGTGGGGGGGGGGTGCTGGGGGGCACTTTGCACTTTTTTGTCCTAACGCCATCGCGCCCGTGTTCCGACCCATCTAGAGGCTTTCGTCGAGTGGACCAAGGTTTTACCATTGTGGCTCGATGAGCTTGCTCCCAGCTTCACAAGAGTTCACTGGTTTCATCAGGTAAAGTATGCAAACCGGAACTAGTGGAGCAATGAAAGTGCAAAATGCGCCCCCCCCCCGTCGCCGAGACTGTGTTTCGAAACATTTCGGGCACGTTATGCAAATGAATGTGTCCTAGACCCGGGAATTAGATTATTTACACGAAATAACACTCGGACAATGAGGCGGAACTGATGTGGTGGCAAGTGGCACTCTTACTACGCCTGCGGTCAGGGTGTCAAATCCCGGATCGGCACCCATGCAGGCTAACCAAGCCTCCTAGGACGATTAACTGGTAGCAGATTCGTGATCGGTAGCGAAGATTTTCCTTTTTAACATTCAGATTTACGAAAGCTTCTGACGAGACATGGCATCAATGCGACTGTGTGCCAGTAGGCAACGATGGTTCTGTACACGTGATATGTCGGCAAATGCTGGCCTCTACAATACCCTCACTGCCGCCTCTCGACTACCAGCCACCTCCTGCAAGTATCGTGGCTTTGACAATGACCGAAGGAGGACTGGCGTTTGTACAGCAGGACGCTTTCCGGATGCACGACATTCAGGCACTGGATTTTTCCAACAACCAGATCCAGACGGTGAATGTGAATGCTTTTCGGGGTCTCGAGGTTAGTCCTTAGCAGTAATGTCACGATCTCCTTGATGCTGTATGAGAGCAAAAATCAATTCAGATGAAGCTGACTCATTTGAGCTTCAAGCAAAATAACCTATCAGTTATTCCATCGTGGGCGCTGACGTATCTACACCATTTGCAAGTGTTGCGCCTTGATGGTAACCGAATCAGCCATATCCGACCAAACACTTTCGATGAAACTCAACTAAATAACCTTCACTTCCTTCACTTAGACAACAATCAGGTAGGTATATCGTATTGGAACGGAGTAGCCAAATCTCAAACCTGCTGATCAGGCATCAGGCAACAAATAAATCAGGCGAAATTTGTTCCGAGTGACGGACGAGACCCTAGCATGCAAGCCAAGACTCTATACTGCCGATTGCACCATTTTTGAAAAGTGGGCGGGGCTTTTTCGGAGTGGGCGGAGCCTCTCACAGTGGGCGGGGCTTCACGTAGCAGACCAAAAACGCAAAAATTTTGAAAAAATATCAAAATTCCGCAAAAAGCAAGTGGGCGTGGTCAAGGGGCGGAGCCTAGATCGCCAAACCCTTTAGAGAAAACCCAAACCCTGTCTAAACCCAAACCCTAAATGTTACATATAACATACGAACGCTGGAAACGCTGCCGCAAAGTATAAACACAGCCTAACATGCAAGTCACGCAAGTTTCAAGGGTCTCAGTGCCCTCGAACTTCTGCCCGTTCCGAAGAAAAACCAAAGAAAAATAGAGGGGAAAACGAGAAATCTTATCATACTTCAGATATCAATCATTCCAAACATGGCCTTCGCCAGACTACGTCTCATTGTCCTCACTTTATCAAATAATCGCATCACACAGTTGGAGAAGTTATCGCTGCCTCCTTCGCTTAGTATTCTTGAACTGAGGAACAACCTGCTTACACAGGTAAGGTCAGCTTGTGCTTCCAGAATTTTGAATAAGGGCAAGAATTACAATGATGCTCGCGCTTCATGCCATTCTTCACTCAAACTTCTCCAGTATTCTATAGAGAACATACTATTAGTGAGATGTCATTTGAACCTAGTTATGAGTTCTTTTCAGATCCCTTACTTGGCTTTGAAAGATAAGACCGCACTCCAAGTTTTGGATCTTGACTCGAACAATATTTCTTCACTCGAGTACAACCCTGAAGTGCACTTCAAAACCGAACTCAGACTCGTTCTGCGGAATAACAAAATCCGCACACTAACGCCAACATCATTGAAGAGCTTCAGAAAGTTCAAGGAACTCGATCTGAGCTACAACCAAGTAAGTTGTGGTGTTTGGCGTTAAATACGAATTGTGGGATGCTCTCCTATCTAGTTGACGTATGAGACACAGACTCAGAAAAAGTTCATGCCACAGCGCTGCCTTGTCGAGTGGATTGGGTCTCAGTACGAATGTTGCACGCACTGCCCCTCCTGCAAATGCTTGTCGCGCTCGCTGCTAATCGGAAGTAGTCCTTGATATCTAATGATTTTTGATTCTGAATGAGTCCTAAGTTGTTTTTCGAGGGTAGTTCTTCAAATGCGAACAAGAAAGGTTACATTGGCGTTCAGACTTCGCGACGGCAGCGCTCGGTCGCGCGATCGATGCGCATGCTTTCGACTGCATCGATCGCGTTGAACGCGCGACCGAAGCGCTGCCGTCGCGAAGTCTGAACGCTGCCTACCAGAAGTTCACACGCCACAGCGCTGCCACATTGAATGGTCTTACTGCAGGGAACAAGCGACATCAATTGACCCCCCATCTCCCAGCATCCGCAGCGAACAAGACTGTAGCTATACGAGCCCGTCACTAAAGGGATCTCCCGAACCGTTTTCATTGCATACCATCTGAAGAGCTTCATTAAAAACTACAGCTTAGTGTTTTTGCATATACGCACAATATAATCAAGTGGTTTCAGCTCCCTGCTCGGGAAATCTTTTTCTTCTTCTCTGTGGCAATCCCGGAACCGCTCAGGGGAAAATTAACTCGCGTTTATGTCATAAGTGAACCGCAGCATCATGCGGGAAACCGTTTTCAAGAAGCGCAATCGCAACTGAGATGCCCTCTGGGAGCCGTCCCACAGCTTCTTCTGTGGTTTCGAAAAATATCCCATTTTTGAGACGTCAAACAGCAGAAAAGCCTTTTTGAGCTACACTTCTCCTTCAGCTGTAGTGTAAGGACATCCAGCATTTCTCACACACACTAATAACAATTGACACAAACGGCTCGGTTCGGTTATTCTTCCACTACTTTGCTAGCAATAGAATAGAATAGGGGCTTCTGAGAAAGATACTTTGGTCGCTGCGGCGTAACGCACACCGAAAATTTCAAGGGTAACGAAAGTTTATATTTTCCAGATATCGAGCATGTCTTCCGCAGCGTTCGAGAGCATCAGCCATGTGAAAACTCTTGACCTTAGCTACAACACCCTTGCCTACATTGCTCGTGGGACATTCAAAAACTTGGCAAAGAATCTCGAACGACTAAATCTTGAAGAGAATATATTTCATGCAATCCCAGCGGCACTTAGCGATCTCAGGAATTTGACGCATTTGAGCATGAACGGGAACAAATTGACCAAGTAAGTTTGACAAGCCCTTCCTTCTCGAAAACCTATATGAAGAACATTTTTCAGGGTCGATGAAGAACCTTTCGCAGGGTTGAAAGAGGTTCTTATTGATCTATCACTTGCTTATAACCGCCTCAAAATAATTCCAACAAAAGCTCTTAACGGGATGGTCCGCCTGCAGCATTTGGATTTGTCCAAGAACAGTATCAAACAACTGGATCGATTAGCATTTAGTACACGTGATAGCACAGACTCGAACTTGGTCCATTTAAATCTTGCCGGTAATCACCTGAAGTCCATCGACGATCCCAATGTATTTCTTCATATGACATCACTAGCCTATCTTGACCTCTCCTACAACAAACTGGAAAAAATAGACCCTAAGATATTCGAGAAGTTACCAGGACTGGAGAGGCTATATCTGCAGGTACTGAGCCATTTTTGTAGCTCATCCGGTTCCTAGTCAAGGAAATCCATTTCAGAACAATAAACTTCAAGAATACCCCATACAAGCTCAGCAGCGAATGCAGAACCTTCGGCAACTGAATCTGGACAACAATCTAATTGAAGAGCTACCAGATCACCTTCTTTATTCCACCCAACGCCTAGAACACTTATCTTTAGCCGGGAATCGAATACATTCCATAGGCGACAACATCTTTCATTCAAGCAGCTCTAAAGGACTAAAATCTCTGAACCTCGCTGGGAACAGGATCTCGAGCATTTCCAAAAGGGCATTTCAACTGATGGAGAACCTTCAAGTTCTTAGACTCAACAACAACCGACTTCGCACAATTGACACCTCGGTGAGACATTTTTAATGTTAAACTAGCGATATAACGAAAGGTGGAACATGTTGAAGGCGGGGATAAGCTTTTTTAGTTTTCGCTGCACATTTTGGGATATGTTGGGGCAGGGGGCGGGAAGAGGGAGCCGGATTTGGCGCAGAGCCAGCCCGTTCTCTACCAATTGTCGCTGCTCCAGCAGTAGGTAGAGGACGGGTACGCGCTGCGCCAAACCCAGCCCCCCTCCTGACTGACACGCCTCAGCGAACTCAGCATTCCTGGCGATAATGCGTCGCGAAAGTTGTGAAAAGATGATAAAAACAATGACTTCCTCCCATAATCTGGAAAAATAAGTCCAGCTTTCCGGAAAAGGAATATGCGGTTATAAGGGCGGACAAGAAGAAGGGCAGGAGCACCTTTTAGGGTGGAGGAAATCCAAGAAGTTTACACTCTAAGGAAAGGTTCTGATTTGTTTTCAACCTGACGACCGCTAAAGAGAATGATGGTCTAACTGGGATACAGTAGAATGATGGACATTTTTGGTCAGTCATAGCCCAAGAAAATGTATTTTGTAGCATTCGCAAGAATTATTTTCAGGTCTTTGCTGAACTCAAAAACTTGCGCTACGTCGACCTATCAAATAACAACATCGTGCATATCCTCCCGCAAGCTTTTACGAGCCTTCCTCTAATTGACACGTTGCTTTTGCATCACAATGAAATCGAACGAATCGACAAATCAGCCTTCCACCGTGTTGCCAGGATTGAAGACATTAGATCTGAGTCACAACTTTCTCAAGAACTTCACATGTGAACAACTTGGTTCTGTCCAGACGATATTCAATCTCAATCTCGCTCATAATCGGATCTCACAGTAAGGAAGAACTACCACATAAAACACCCCTTTAGTGCTTCATTCACAGAACTTTTTTACAGAACGGAACTCACATGCATTTTGCGAAGTCTCGTTCACTTGGACCTCGGCTATAATGTTCTCGAAACGTTCAAGAAGAATACGATGGATGGAGCTGACAAAATGCTCGAAATAATCCTCAGAGGCAATGGCATACTTGAGCTGCAAAGTCACGCTTTCGCCTGCTGCCCAAAACTCTCGACTGTGGACCTGTCGCACAATCACCTACGCACAATCCACAAGGACACGTTCTCTGACCAGGTGAGAAAAAAAAGCTTGAGCTGGCAAAACATGTCATTCAGTAAGTCTCGAGGACATAAATCAGCAACAGGTGGTATGGGGGAAAGAAAAGCGGATGGGATGTGGCCTGAAATAAGGTCCGAGCTTGACTGTTGTCTGCACCACGAGCCAGCTCACAGATCGAGTCCAAAGTAAACGCTGTAAACACTGTTTCTCCCACTTGCGAAGTGCACTAAATCCAACCCCTGACCACACTCATCTCTGAGGAAAACCACATTTGCATAGAAAAAGAAACTTAGCAAACTGTCTCTTAACAGGGCTGTCATTCTTGCACTCGAACGTGGCTTATGTGTCTAACCAGGAAGGTCGTTCAGGGCGTGCCCCGCTTTTTCAAAACGGTCTTTTGCATTTTGTAGGGGGTCGTACATAGACTACAAAAGTGGTGTTCATTTTTGCTGTGCGGCCACCGGTATGCCAAAAAAGGAGTGAAAGTTACGTCTATGTACCCCATTCGAGGACGTTAAGCGCTATACTGGCGCCCAAATTGCGTCGACCTCGAAGAATAAGTGTCAAAATCGTAAATCCAGGAACCAATCGATTACACTTATGGACGGACGTTCCAGCCAAAAATTTTTTTTTCGATTTCTTGGGTTTTGGTGGACCATCTGGTCGGCACTAGTGACCGGAGTATCTCATCTTCGTAAAGACGATGACGAAACGACGACGTAGCAGGCCGCCGGGCAGGACAGCAAACCTGGTGGAAATGCCTCCCTTTCTTTCCTCTTTGCATGTATTTTCATCGGCATTTTACTTTTATCTTTGGATATTAATAAAAGGGGGTCTCTTTGGCGAGGCACTGTAGACTTCTATAGAATGACTGTCGGGCACAACCCAACGCACACACCCCAAAAAAGTTGGAAAAATTTTTTTTGGCCGAAAGAATTGTTTACAGGGGTAATCGATGGCCCCGATCATGATTTTCACACTTATGTTCGGCGCCGACGTAATTTGGCGCTTGGGTAGCGCTACACATCCCTTACTTGTGTGTAGCAAACGCATTCATTGGGAGAAACATGTCACTCCATATTAGCGATAAATGGCACCGTAGCTACAAATAAGTTCCATATATGTGATTCGGGCATGGTCTGACCTATAAAGGTCAACTTTCAATTACGGTCTTGCTTAATGGTATGTAAAACCTGTAATAATTGAATAGCACTGATTCATGGAGTGTTCCCATTTAAAATGTGCCCATAAATGGCAGTTATCGAATGCATACTTACGCACAGACATATTTGAACGCGAAAACAGCAAAACATAAAAAATGCAAAAACTCGCACGCCGAGGGGAGTTGAACCATCAACCCCACCCCAACTGTCCGCTTGAGAATCCTTCACGCTATCCACTAGCCCATCCGATCGTTGGTGCTGAACGTTCCTCCCATCGTTGAAGAAACCTTCCATGAAGCCGTTCACGCTTGATTACGTGCCACAAGTAAGACCCCATACCCCAACTACTTTTCTCTTCGATTCCGATAGCACCTTTATAGGGTCCCTCCATTCAGCAACTGGTCAAAGTTTCAAGCGGTTTACAGCTCGTAGAGGCTCAAAAACAATCAGTTTCTATAGGTTTCTTTTCGCTCCTTTTTTGGCATTCCAGGGGCCGCTCAGCCAAAACGAAGCCCACTTTTATGGTTCATGGGCAAGGCCCTACAAAGTGCAATAAACCGTTTCGAAAAAGCGGGGCACGCCCTGAACGACCTCCCTTGTTAAGAGTGCTAGGTGACGGCTTCGAAAGAAAACTTCCGGAGACAGTGTCCGGGCTCAACCAATTTGAACGCGCCCCACCTTCTTCAAGATGTCTTTGTTACATTCTCGCAACTGTCCCTTTGTGGCTAAGTAATGAAGGTAGTGCGGCCTTCTCAAGTTCTGACGCCTTTTCAGTTGTCCCGCCCACCAAAACTCAAATTTATTTTCTGCCACGTGTTCTGTTTTTACACCGCGATTTCCGTTTTTCCCCCAGTTAGGTGGTAGTAAGCTGAAGACCAAAGAAATGAAAGATTGGAGAATAAAGAGCTAAAAACGACAGCGCATGCAGGCTCGCTACAGATGGCGAGGTACGATTTGCTGAGGTAAAACGAGCAGACCCGGGGAAAGGGGAGGGGATTGTAACTTCGGATGTTCTCCATGATTCCTTTTTGCTTCCCTAGAAGTCATCTGGAAACGATAGGTTTGTAACTGAATGCCACTATCCACAATGCGATCCGCGGATTTGTTCTGGAACTACTTTCTACAATTTCAGGAACTTCTACATTATCTGGACCTCAGTCATAACGCTCTACACAGTCTTCAACCAGGATGCTTTGGGAAGAACAACATTCTTTCGTTGGACGTTTCTGTGAATGAACTTCCAAACGTCCCAACTGATGCTCTACGTACCACATGCGCTAGTCTAAGCGTTCTCAACATGGATGGGAATCAAATAAGAACACTCGACTCGTCGCAGTTCTTCGACCTGAGGAATTTGACCAGATTGATAATATCACGAAATCGTATTGAGACCATAGAAGAGGGCGCCTTTGAACATCTACCCGCCTTGAAATACTTGGATATCAGCAATAATCCCGTCAGTACATGGAGTCCTTCCGCCTTCAGGGTTGGTGCTCAATCAAAACTACAATGCTTTTGAACTGATACGAAACATCAACAGAATTTAGGACATGAGCAATACGATGGACGAACTCAATCTAGCCAACACCGGGCTTTTTTCGATACCACGAATGAGCCACCATGCCATACGTCACTTCAATCTTAGCATGTGAGTTTTTTAAATTTTTAAATCAGGAAATACACACGGATTACTTCCTGTTACAGGAACAAAATTTATGACATTAGCCGCTCCGATTTGACAAGAACAACGCATCTGCATTCACTCGATATTTCATTTAATAATCTCCTTCGTTTCGGACACGATGTCTTCGATGATCTTGTCATCTCAAAACACTAAATATCAGTGGAAATCCTATCACAGAGATTCTAGGAGAACAGCTTCAAGTCTCTTTATCAGGTAGAGGTTTGCTACGTATTAGGGTCTACGGACTGCTTGAAGAAAACATGTACGCTCACTTCCGTGGATCCTGACCCTCGTGTGTGGAGAATGGCTAGAAATAGCGGCCAATTAAAAGGATAAGGTCCTCGCCGTTAATCAGTCCTTTTGTGGAATGCGCGCATTCTTCTTCCACTCAGAATAGTAATGACTTATTGAATGCGATGTGGCCTACAAAGTTACGGGGGCCAGCCGATGTACAAATCAGTGTCCTTATCCTCCCAGACGATTCCGGCACCAATTTACCGTCCCCAGAGGATAGAAGGCTTGACTGGCCTGGGCAGGTGTCGACCTGGGATTCGAAACCCAGGACCGCGTGAGTGGTAAGCGCTCACTTGTCACTACACCACCTCCGCCTTAGCTGCTACTTATTTGGCTGAAAAGGGGACGGGAACGGGTCTGGAGGGGACTTATGCGGTACTTATGCCCAGATGCCGTCTCCCGACTCCAGATGCCGTCTCCTGACATGGGCGCGTTGCTGCAAGGTTAGCCACACGCCTAACCATAGCCAAGCGCTTAGCTGTCACTTCCGGTTGTTCGCTCCCTCTGACAGCGGAGTCGCTGCGAAATTCCCGGTATAAACGCAAGTGCTGCAGACCGAGGACAGCGGGGGGAGAGTTGGGACGGTATAACTGCCTCACAGCCCCAATCCCGCGCACTTTTGAGCGGAGAAGTGACAAGCTACTGCTGCTGCGGACACCCACCACTACCACTGTGATTCAACTATGACCTATGGCTGGGACCGCCCTTGGAGGTGGGTGTGTACTTTTTGTCTCTGGACTTTTTACTCAAACTGCAACCCTTAATGCTCTTTGCTCTACACATCGTTCAATGATCACTGTGGCCCCGCACATTCCAAGCTTTCACACTTGACACAAGGGCTCACCCACCACCCTGCCCCCTCGAAAAAGCCCATCCTGGGGTTAGCGTTATTTTACACCACTCGATGCTCTCCCCGCGTGCACGACTGAAGCAAGTGAACTGAGCCAAGTGGAAGTACCAAGCATAGCCCCTTTCATATGATAAGTACGGCAGAAAATATTCTCAACTAAATGTCATGTATTTCATCTCGAAACACTCTCAATGCACGATTTGACATCACTAGCACGGCTACCGTATCCTATAGAATTCTCCAACTTGGCGAACCTCCGAAATCTAGAAGTAAGTCAGTTGCACTTCTCGGAATCGTTCGTTAGAATTATGTCGAAGATAAATTATGCATTTTAGATGTACAATCTAGCCGCAACTGCACATCCTTACAATGTAACTCATATCATTCAACATCTGCCACCTCTGCGATCACTTCACGTTGAATTTCGAGAACCAGTTATTGACACACAGCTGCGTGACATTGACATGACACACGTCAGACAAGTGATTATAACCGGGTCGAATATTACAAATGTGAGTGAAGGCAGCATCTTTGACCTAACTTGTGTTCGAAGACAATCCTCCATATTGTAGATAATGGTGTTCATTTACAAACCTGAAGTCTCTAAAGACTCTCCAGGAAAGAATGAAGCAAAAAAAATCATGAACATAAAATCTAGTTGTAAAAAAAAACAAAAAATAGGCGTAAAAGCTTAACTCGTAACAGAAAGTAGCCTTTGAGTTCTGCCGAGCAGAACAGCTAAGGATGGAAGATTTCTACAGGGGGCTGCAGCCGCCTTTCGCCACATACTGTGGAAACGCTGAGAAAGAACTGTCTGTAGAAATCGCAGACCAGGCGGATCTGTACAAGGGACAGCACACCTACAAACTTGCGGAGCGTGCAGGCCGCTTTTCAGAAGCACGGGCGAATAATTCCGGACCGTTACCGGAACCACCGACCCCACCCGCGCCTGAGCTCAGTAAATTGTGTGCCGAGATTCGTCCCTAGTAGGACAAAGACAGTTGTAATTATGGCTACCACAATGCCGGCCTGCATAATTCCGCCTCGCAAATGTGATTATGGTTGTCTGAATAGAGCAAAATCGCTATCGCGATCATCAGAGCGACTGAGACAGCGGAGAAGTTCATGTACACTACTCGTTTTCCTAGGGGCACTATGCTCGTGTACTCTTTGAGAGCGATGACTTCGCGCTTGAATTTACGGCCCAAAAGGAAGTCGCTCAAGACGCAAATGCAGACAACTAGCTGTACATAGCTGATTACAAATGTTAATTAGGCCACCCTCATTTCCAGCTCGGCAACCGCCCCGCACAACTGAGAGAGACAGTCTCGCCAAAAAAAACTCTAAGAAATGGCAATAGGTGTTAAAAGAAGTATAACCCCACAAAACAAGAATCAGTTCGCTGCGGACGGCGGGGCGTGTCAGGCAGTATGAATGTGCCACGGTGAAAAACCCGTTCTCTGCCAATTGTTGAAACAGTTACGCGACAACAGTTGTTGGCAAACACGTGATACGAACGACATGATACATGTCACTTGCTCGCTTCACACCTGGTGGAGAACGGGTTTGGCACCGTACCAAACTCATCCTGCCTGACACGCCCACCGTCCGCAGCGAACTACACTATAGTTGTAACAATCTCGGAGTGTTCGAGAAACACATCTCAATTAATACTGTCACCATGCCAAAATTAATAAAGGGACCACATCGCAATGAGTGCCTTGTTGTTCAATTGGTTACACCTTTTTATGCCACCGTATAGCGAATTATTCAGATCAGTTCGACAGCACTTCACATGCTCAGAGGCTATCGAGTTCAACTAACTATTCGGAACACCTCTATACAAAAATTTCCCACATCACTTCTCACAACACTTGGCAACATATACTTCCTCTCTTTGTATCTACCAAACAATCAGATTCGGTCGATAAACCCATTCAAGAACACAGATCAGCCATGGGTTAATCACCATGGAACAATACTGGAAGCACTGGATTTATCTGTAAGTATCTCACAAGTAGTTAAAATTAGCGTGTAGCGTCTTCACTGATCTTTTTCCAGGGGAATCCCCTTCAGTGTGATTGCGCCATGGCATGGGTGTCCGAATGGATTCAAGCTTCACCGTCAAACGCCCAAGATCTCGAACAAGCTCATTGTGAGCATCAAGGAGCTTCTATTGAAAGCTCTCTCACCTACGTGTATAGCACTAAGTATTTAAACTCTTCGCATTGTTATCATTTGAACGGGCAATCGTCTAACTCAGTTCCACAACTGATTTTGATATTATGGGTACTCTTATTTGTTCTCTGGTTTGACCAAAAATAAATAACTTTGTAACTCAACGAGATCGAGAACTAGCAGAAACGAAGTCAGGCGATTTGGAGGAAGCTGAGTTGAAAACAGCTGCAAACCTTTGTAAAGAAAACTAATAACTGCAGTATGAATGCTATACTGGAAAAAGGGTGCGACGGTGCGCACGCCAGCCTGAGTGCTCACAATCTCACGCTTTATCGTGGTCAAAAGGTTTTTTGCAAAAACGAGTGTTACATGCAGAGCCAGATCTATACAATTATATCGCCGCAAACAGTCGCGGCGGCTTCAAGGGGGTGTAGTGAGCCCACCCTCAAGGGGGTGTAGTGAGCCCACCCACGGCGTTTGCACCACTAATTCTTCTCTTACTAAATCGATTACTAACCTATCACCACTGTTACAGCAATGCAGCTACAGAAGGGCGCATTCCTGCCCTTCTGACACCGCCCCAACTGATTGCGAGTTATCAAATATTCAGTCGTAAATATTGGTGCGAATGGTTCGCAAGGAGATCTAGCGGCAGACTCTCTAGGTCTTTATTTATTTATTTACTGCACTCTGGTAATGTAAATGGTGTAAAGAAAACTAACGAGGTCGCGCACGCCAGTCTGTGCGCTCATAATCTCACGCACTAGGTGCGCTGCAACTGAAAGGGCAGAGAAACATTGTTAGTAGTAACTCAGATCAAACCGTAATTATTATTTATTATTGTTATTATTATAAAATCAGTATAAAATAAAAAAATAGACGCTGCTGTTCGCTCAAATCGCTAATGGTCGCTGGTGGACGCTGCCGCTGAGCATGAACGCAGCCTAAGACGCGACGCCTGAGCTCCCTTTTGCCCTGCCAGCTTGACGGCTTTTATACCATTGCCTCGTAGCCCACGCTGTCACAGTTCGCAATATTCTCGCTATAACTTTCGGAGAGAACTACCCTTGGATTTGAGCTTAAAATTGCAACAGTACTGGCTATAGTTGTTACATCGAATTCAAGCACGTAACGGAGCTGCTTCTCTTCGTTAGAGCTACCCTTCTATCAGTAACCGAATACACCACATGCGTCTATTCGTACCTGTTAATTTTGCCAAAATCCATTTTGAACAGCACGTCATTGTTAGCGCACAGCGCATCCATCTTGTTGTAGTCCATCTGGTCAGCACCTAAACTCAGCGGAATGCACTGCTTTGAGGCTCAAGTAGTTCTAAGAACTCATCTAAAACCGAACCAATGACGTCAAGAATGGGCGCGAATAGAATTTTAAGAAACTCTAGCAGCTCCTCCTGTCGGCAGCCACCAAGGTAACGGAATATGGCGGCTCGCCTCGACTCGGCAAAGTTACGTTTTGTCTGAGACCACAACTTGCCATACAAAAACCTGAGATGGTTCCTAATAATTGCAGAGGCACAAACGAGCTGCAGTTAGTCAAGCTACTCGAACTACCTGAGCAGAACATGCATCACTGTCTTCCTGTGATCTATGTGCACGATTGAATTTCCATCTTCCTCGTTGATTGTGAACAGGACTAGCTGCTCTCGGAATGTTTTTTCATCAAGAAGTCGTTCAAAGTTCTCTCTGCAAGCAAGAAGAAAAGCTTTAGAAAATAAAAAAACCTTTAGTGATACTTACTTATAGGGCAACAACGCCTTATCTCGGTATGAAAAAATACACGCCAAGGCCGATTTCTGGACCATGTCGTTACCCACCATTAGGAGCTGCAAATGTATTAACAAATACATGCTACAAAATAATCACCACTCAAAAGGAAATAGGATGAGAAGAAAGGTACATATGAACCAAGTAAGTTAGCAAGTCGACCATCGGCTGAGGGATGCTTCGGTTTTCCACAAAAGGTATGTTGAATACGAACTGTACATTCACCTCCTCGTCATGTGCGCCGTCAATGGGTCCGAAGCAGCAGCAGCGTCGTTCGGATTTTCCACAATGCTTCCGCACTGCCAGCCATACGCTCAACCATACCCAAACACGCTAGTTATCTGCGCTCTTTCATTTCTGCTGTTCTCTACCACCGGTGTTGCGTCAGTGGGTGCGGGGTCATAGTATCAACACGATTGCTCGAACTAGATGATAGCGTGGCAGAGTCAAAGACGGCAGCAGGGTATTATTACCCTTCACTCTTATGCCCGCGCGATCCCAAGCGCCAGAAGAACGACTTGTACAGCTGCCAAGTCGTTCTTCGCCACTGACACGGCTGAAACCGTCTCCGGGAGGTGAGTGCACAGTTTGACTTCAACCAAGGCACTTCCTACGTTAGAGACACTCACAGCGAAAGAAAAACAGGTCCTATTTGCCTGTATAAATTTCTCGATGGTTGATTCCCTTCCTTTCCGCCGCAAGGGAAATTTTTAGCACTCACAATTGCTGATCGGGTGCCAGAACTCTCCCTGCCCGCATGACGGATATTAAGAAGGTGGTGGGGTCAAATATGGAAAATTTCTTTTACGCCAAATATGCCCTGATGTCACCCAAGCATATTTGATGAATGGCAAACTTTTGCCCACATCTGTGCTTCCCATCAATTAGACAGTGCTCAGGCATTGCGATGATTAGCGACGACGCGCTGTAACGCGCTACAGCGCTCTGATCCTACATACGCGAACGCAACTGCAGACGGGAATCGATCGGCGCCGCTTGTATATTGAGTATGGGGAATTGAAGGGTACGTTTTCCTGATCATGCAGTCTGGTACGATCGGCACTGATCGCTAGGGCGACACCGGTAAAGCCGATTGATTCCTGCCTGCGGCGGCGTTTGCGTCTATAGGATTGAAGCGCCGTTGTTATTGTAGCGCGTTACAGCACGTCGACGCGTCATTGAGAAGCCTGAACGTTGCCTTACTCAAGACAAACATGTAACGCAACCTACATTGGGGAGACTGGAAGACCGTTAGCAATACGCGTCAAAGAACATCTTGCTGGCAAAAGGCGTGGTAATATAAGAACACCACTCGGCAAGCATTTGATCGAGGAGCACCGCGGAAACGACTTTGATGTGAAGTGCACGATTCTGGCATGCGAGACTGAGATTTCTGCCAGAAAAGCGCTAGAGGCATTCTGGATTTCTGCAAGAAATCCTAGAATGAACAACCGCAATGAGTGCTTATCCATAACAAATGACCTCTTGCCATTTGTGTCGCACTGCGAGCTAGATGTGAGCGGTGGGACGTGCCATTTCTGACTATAATCACTATACAAGATTGGCACAGTAAGTCCCATTCATTGTACTAACAACTAACTGAGCGGCCACTTCCGCTCTCGCTGTGGTGGACTGGGTGAGTCTTTCCTCTCATTCGGGATTTTTGGGTGGTTTTCTCAGTAGTCTGTCAGAAACGTTAGGGAAGAGGAGATCTTTGGCGGTGTAGAGAGAGCAATTTCAAACCATGAGCCACGTTTAGGCCTCTGATGAAGACGATCTCGAAACGTCAGGCCATAATAAAAGTTCCACCTACCAACCTCGTGTGCACAGAAGAACTTATCAAACGTAATATAACTGCCTGCTGCGGTGACGGCAAGACTTTTGAATTTAGTGCACAGTCACTATCTACGCTATGCAACCCATAAAAGTGTCATGATAGATAGTCACACCAAAACTCACATGTTCGTACATGGTGCGTATTTTGGACTCCATGTAAACCGATTTTGCATCGGTGAATTTAGCGAAAACATCTAGAAGTGCACACAACGCCTGAAAGAGAACCTCCTCAGCAAACATGCTCTCATTCTTACTGAAAAAAAACCGCTGATATTACCTTTATTACGTGCATTCGTTGTTCATAAGTGGCATCTGGGCTTTGCTCTGCTGCTGCTCCATTGGGGTCCTCGGCTTGAGAATTTTCAACATGAACATCCTTGGAAAGCGGGCTTAAACTCTCAACAATGAGAGGAAGATAATCTGATCTGGAAATGAATGTCGAGGTAGAGCACAATAAGTATGTTGAAAAGTGACACGAGTAGTTCACTCACTCATAAATTTTCAAGACAATAGGAGATAAAATGCGTGTACGTCGCTGAGCTAGGTCTGAGATAGTGACCATAAACTTGAAGATCTGAAAGAAAAGAGTGGCTTAATGTTGTGAGCGCAATCACTACCGATAAAGCAGCCATAAACCCACTTGAATGCGAGCTGAGTTGTAGTCAAATCTGTCGTCCTTGTCACACCAAGGCAAAAGAGTGACGGTATGTCCTTTCTCTCCTTGCTCTCGACATCCTAAGAAACCTTTCTAGGAAAGTGAAGAAGCAAAATCAAACGACAATGTCGGAGTTTTCAGCAGACTGTAAATTGCGCCCTATACGGTTGACTTCCACTTCCACTTTGAATTTTCATGAATGCGGGCACTTTCTACATTCTCGATACATACTGTGTCACTCGACAGCCTTTCAATATGTTCTCGACATTTTTAGACTTACATACTCGGTAAGCTCATCATTTGTACTCGGCGCAGCTCGGCGACGGAGGGGGGGGGGGCATTTTGTACTATCATTGCTTCCCTGGTTCCGGTTCACAAGTCTCACTCTGGCGAAATCTGCGAACGCTTGTGAAGCTGGGGCAAGGTCGTCAAGGTCGTAAAACCTGCCAACTCGAGAAGGGATGTCTATATAGGTCGACATGTTGGTGGGAAGTAGCAAAAGTGCAAAATGCCTCCCCCCCCTCCGTCTCTGAATTGCGCCTTACTCCTCTACGACCCACTCACAGTCTCTCGTTGGATTTTGCAGTAATCATCATCAATCCTATCACTTCAAGTAATACTCACACTCTAGTAATACTCCACATAAATCACTCTCTGAAAAAAGGATAAAACCTTATTGACCCTCCCTCCTTGGGATGAGCCACGCATGCCACTACTACTGCGAAACAGCTTCTTGACAGTGACTGGGCCTATAACGCAAATTGCAGGGGCCGACACATGCACAAGTCAGCGTTTTGTTCTCCCAGAAAGTCAGATGCTAACTATAACGAATGGATAGTATGGTTGGCTCGTCTGGACGGGAGTCAAACCACGAAATTAACAGCAAAATGGACGCGACAGTCACTGCAACTTTCCACGACAACATTTCATCTTCCCAAAGTTCTCCCTACCAGACACTCGCAATGCTTAAACCCTAAGCAATACTTCCCATTTCCGATGTAATGAGGTGGAGGTGGTGTAGTGACAAGTGGCACACCTACCAGACGCGATACGGTTCGAATCTCGGCCTGGCTCCTGTGAAGGCCAACCAAGCTTTCCACCTCTCCTCGTGACAGTAAATTGGTGCCATGTACGTCTGGGAGGATAAGAATGCTGAACTGTACATCTGCTGGCCTCCCAGGTCACTGTATAGGGCGCATCGCATTCAATAAGCCACTACGATTGAAATGCGTGCCGCATTCCGAAAAGAGATTGATCAGCGGCGAAGATTTCATTCTGCTTTTATCCAGCAGAACTGAATAAGACATCGAAAACTTGGACACAAGAGACATTACCAGCATTGACTTGGTCTAGAATTTCCGCGAAGATCGTCCAGAAGGCGTCGATATCCATGCCACGTGCAAACGATTCTAGTATCTCATACATAGAAGGCCATAGTTTTGTAAATTGAACGAAGAACTGGGCAAAACTGATGCGCAAGATGATCTGAAGAAACTATGATGTTCTTCGAATATTCATGATTGTATGTATAGAGGTTATTTTCCACAAAACCGTTGTAAAGTGGTTCTGCGCCGATTAAATGCGTTTTTCCACCTAAATGGATCAAGCATCAGTGGAAGAAATGAAGAGGGACCTCATATTACAAAAACACATGAAGCGCTGTTTTCGATTAGATCAATGTAAGCCCCATTTGACTTGTGCAGCGCCGAAAAGTACGCCAAAGAACAACTAAGAAACCATCTCGACAACAAGTAACGAAAAAGAGTCAACTCACATGATCATATGCCACACCACTGCCCTTTGGCATAAACCTTCTGTGGGGACCGAACATGAGCTTATGAAACTGAAGCAGACGACCTCTGGAGTCTATGACCTCGCAGCACTCAGCCGCAAGCATGATAGAGAATAAGTTTTCGTCGTGTTCCTGAAAGCAAGTGA